GACACGCTGCATGTCAGAGAATTCACGCAGATACAAATGGGAGGTTTACAAATACACTGCTAGAATATTAGCTTCTCTATCGTGCACAGATAATTAGATTGCAATCAAACACTTCAATTATAGTATTGCTAATTCTTAAACAACCCCTTAAAAAGCAATTTTGTAGACAAATCTGTTAGCATCTCATTGCGTCTGTGGATTAGAAAGACAATAACAGCTATATTGTCGTTGTTTATAAAACCTGATTTGATGCAATTGTATTCATATATTTCCGCGGATTTTCTTCGGCACCACCGCGGACCTAACAACCACCACTGCCTCTTTGAAGGCATTACCTAATCAAATCTCTTAAAAGAAATCCTGCTCACACTTTGCAGATTGTGGGCCTGTGTACATTAAATAAGTACAATTATGGGCAATTTTTTCATCCTTAATTTGATAGCTATTTCCCTTTCTAGGTGGTATTTTCAGTTAAACGGAGTTTGACAGATAGCTGCAAGATATAAAAGTACTTGTGTATGAATTAAAAAGGTGAATAACTTGCCACTATGAGGGTTATTTCTGTGAATTTGGAGACAGCAGAAGAACTGATAGCTACCCCTGCAAGGGATGCACTTGAATCGTCTCAGTTCTACAATAAAAAGGAAAGTAATGTGAAATGAATTTAATAAATAATTGAATAATTTAATGAAGGTAAGCTTGAAATTTAGTGCCAAAAACCATGCAGAGCTCGGCCGTAGAGAGAAGTGATACAATGCGTAGTTGTTGTAAAAGCATGGACGATGAAAGATGAAACGTGAGGGGCAGAACAGTGTCAGCAACTACACTATGTGGAAACCTTTGGTTCTGTCACACCATTGAGGTTGTGCTACGTCGGGCTGGGTTAGTACAATCGCGGGTGACGGATGAGGAACGCTCGGGGTTGCTGGTCCATACTTACGCATTCTACACCTTTACGCCTCACTTCATTCCTCCTGCATTCTCTACCATCTTCTTCCCCACTTTCAGCGACTTGGTATCCATACTCGAAAGCTTTTACTTTTCCTATAAGGTAAAACTAAATTTTTACTTTTTTTCAATTCCTCTCCATGTTAATCCTGCTAGACTTGTTTGCATTTCTTCTCTGCATTTTGACCGTTTTTTAATAACTGCGTTTGATTTGTACTTTTCTCCTTGAGTATTTACAGTTTGTGATTTGCTTGCAAGCATGAAGTTTTTGTTTTTATCATTTCAACTATTTCTTACTAATTTTTGATCACATTTACATATAAACTGATTAGGCCCTCTAGTCTTTCTATACATACCCTTAATTTTCTTGCCCTGTTTTTCAAATTTTTAATAAAGTGGTTTGACCAGCTTGTAAGCAGCCTGGTCTTGCATTTCTCATTCAATGCGACAAATAAATTAGCTGCTTACAATGAAATCTTTTATTCAAGCAGCTATCAACATCAAACATCGGGTAACTCTCATGCCTTTATTAAAGTGCAGAAAGTGTGGGCACATGTTTCCCTTTGTGGCTGCACTGGCTACATATTCTGCATTCGAGTTTTGAATGTCGCAGCAATAATAATGGATCCTGACAAGTGTATTGCATACGCGTTCATGACCCCCTTCACTACGAAGTCAATGAAGAAAAAATTAAAGCAATGTGTGGAATACTTCAGACCTAATTTAGTTGAATGTAACGACAAGGAGGGCGATATTTTTGCTAGACTCTGAAT